GCCTTGTCCGTGGTGTACGCACCCCTGTCCAATCTTCTTGAGGTCTTTGTAGCGGTCCTTTGGTGCTGCAGGGTTGACCACCTCCCGTAACCGCGCAAGCACTTCCTCGTCTGACATCTTCTTCTTGCCCTTGTCCCTCTTCTGCACCTTCTGCTGCCCGGCGCTCGGCTTTGTCTCTGCCGCTGTTGTTGTCGGTGCTGATGATGACGGCGCCGCCTTGGCTGCCGGTTGTCTTGGTGCTGCAACAGGCGCGGGCTTGGAAATGGGCTGGTGTGTGTGTGTGTGTGTGTGTGTGTGTGTGTGTGTGTGTGTGTGTGTGTGTGTGTGTGTGTGTGTGTGTGTGTGTGTGTGTGTGTGTGTGGCAGAAGCGAAAGGGACCAACATGCACACGCACGTGCATGGAGGCGAGAGACGTCCAGCGGTGTGAGCAACAGCTTGCACAGGGGGCACAGTGACATCGCAAGCCGCAAGCCGCAACCAACAACCAACAACCAACAACCAACAACCAACAACAACAACAACAACAACAACGAGGGGCGGCAGCAGCAAACAAACAAACAAACAATCAGCCCAAACAAAAACAAACACCACCTGCCGTACCTTTGTCTTCTCCGACTTTGTAAACGCTGGCCTCTCGACCACGGGTGGGGGCTGTGGCGCCTCCTTGGCCGGTGCAGACTGTGGCTGCGGTTGCTTCGCTGCAGGGGCAGCCATCTTCACGCCCTGCTTCCCGCTCTTGCCGCTCTTCTTGTCTGTGTCGACCATAAACTTGACGCCCTCGCCATCAGCCGTGCCCTAAGGTTGCATGACGGAGAAGTGCGCGGTGAGGAGGTGCGAGACGCAGGGCAGCAGCGATACACGAACAAAAACAGCAGCAGCAGCAGCAGCAGCAGCAGCAGCAGCAGCAGCAGCGGTTGCAGTGCAAACACACACACAAAGGTGTCACAGTCACAAGTGCACACACAAACACACAGACACACACACATTCGCATGCACAATCGGTGGCGCTTAGCCCACCGCCAAAAGCGAGAGCATGCGTACCTGCACGTCCTCTGTGTAGAAGCCAAGCACATCAACCATCGCTTGCGGGTTCTTGGCGATCTCCTTCTTTGTGATACCGGAGACTTGCAGCAGCGCGCTCCATTGTGGCGGCAAGCCCTGTCAAGACAAAAACCGAAGCAAGCGGCACGTTCAACGAGAGGCAACACGTGTGCTGCGATGTGAGCTGCGTGTGTTGGAAGGTACTGCGAGGTGCGACCTCGCAACGTCATGCCGGGCCCCCACTCGCGGCTACGCAGTCACGCATGTCTGGCAGAGGGAGCATGACCAAACTCAGAAACAACACAGCATTGGGCGCAGGAAAGAAAGACTTGGCTGCCAACGTACGGAGAACTCGCCGGTTTCGGGATCAAAACCAACGTGCACCTCGTGCACAAAGTCAAGTGGCGCGGAGATGTCCACCTTGCGGACTGTGGAGAAGGTGCAACGAGTTGTCGATGAGCGTGAGCGTGTGCGTGGGCATGGTATTGCATGCACATGCATTTTTGTGTGTGTGTATTTGTGTGTGTGTATGTGTGTGTGTGTGTGTGTGCGTGCGTGTGTGCGTGATGGGTAGCAGCTGCTTGTTGGAGGCACCAAACTGGGTCCTGCCGGTGTGGCATTAGGGCAGAGCACAGCTGCAGTTGGCGCAGCGATGTTCGCCGACGCGGCAGCAACGCACAACGACACTCACCAGGAGGCCGGTCATCGCGGGCCTTGCTTGTGCTGCCAAACAAGCGGAACTTCTTCTTCTCAGATGCCTGGCGATGAGGCAAAGAAGGGTTCAACAGCACAAGCTTCATGTGAATGGGACATGGGAGGTAGGCAAGATGGCATGCATCACAACGATCAAGGGGAGCAAGAGCAGCATGCAGCTGTTACACAGCTTGCAGCAGAGACATCATCATGTGGAGAGAGGCAAACGGGGAGAGGCAAACGCACCATGCTGATGTTTCAATGATACGGTTGATCAGACACCACTCAAAGGTGAACAGCTATCGGGATCTCTGTGCTGTCATGCAAGGCAAGAAGCGCAGCGCCGTCAATGAGCCCCGAGATTCACACACAACACACACACACACACACACACACACACACACACACACACACACACACGCACCACCACCACCACCACACACACGTTCCCCAAGTTAGGGGCGAGCAGGCAGCAAACGATGCGCAGGCAAGGAAACAGGCCGAACAACGTACTCAGCCAGCCAACAACTGCACGAACGCAAACACACGCATGTGCATGCACACACACACACAAAGTAAGCGCAGACATTGGCGGCATTGGTGTGTTAACAGTCAAGCAGAACATACCTAACAGCGAGAACAGTCAACGATGAATGTGATGTCGTCTCGTGTGGAGTGAGCTGTTGCAAGTTGCTGGCTGGTCACCGGGCCCGCCACAAAACAAACAAAAAAAGTTGTGCAGGTGTCTTGCTTGGTTGGTTGGTTGATACGGGCAATGTGGCTGTTGCACCGAGCCACACGAAACGCTGCGTGTCCAAAAACAAACAGCAGCGAGAGCGGTGGGAAACGGCTGTTGGCTGCTGCTGTCTGTGATACGATACGAGGCAGCCTCAAGGGAGAGCAGCAAGGCAGGCGGAGGGAGTGTGTGTGTGTTTGTTGTGTGTCGTCTCGCTTCTTGTTCGGCAAACGATGAGTTGTGTGGTTGTGGCGGAAGCGACAACAGCAGCGGGAGCAGCCAAAAAAAAATATGACGAAAATCAGCCAAATCAAGCACAACACTTCCCTAACAGAGGTCGACTTGCAAATATGTGAAAACGTCTGTAAATTTTCGACGGGAACCGGAACAGAGACATGACAGCACAATTTATTGTTGCTGACAGTTTGTGGGAACTTGCTCGCTGCTGCTCGCTGTGCGTTTTTTCCCGCACAACGATCACATCCTGATTCACCGACAAGCAGAGCAGGGCAGAGTGGCAGAAGAAGCAAAGAAGTGAGTGGCGGGGCTTGTCTCGTCCGCAACGTGAGGGTTGGAGCAAAGACAACAAGGCACAAAGGGGCGAGGGAGAGCGGTGAAGCGGGTTTACCTTTTGATTGATGGTGTGTGTTTGTTGCGGTGAAACGGCAGCCACGTGGCTTCGTTGTGTCGTTTGGCGCGGTCTCGCGCTACGAAATTGGCGGTTATCATGGAGTGGCGTGGAGGGGGGAATGGGTTGCGTTGCATGCTTGATGACCTGCATGACTGTGCGGCGATGAACAACGCTCGTTGGCATTGTGGTATTGTGGTGTGGTTTACTGGCGAGTGTTGGTGGTCTGTCAGTCTGATGACTGTTGATGGGTCTTGTTTCCATGCTCAAGGACTCAAATAACCTTTTTTTTTTCTTTTTTTTTTTGTGGTGTGCCACACGGCAGACGCACACGTTGTCTCGACCGTGGGCCGGACCACATACCCGCCTGCATGGAATCGTCTGGGTGAGCGCGGTCAAGGCGTGTCCTGAACGGCACTGCCTGGCCTGCGTGCATGCATGCTTGCTTGCTTGCCACGTCTTGTCGCACCAGCACAGCATGCTCGCACACAAAGACACGTCGACACACATATCCGCATGTCGGACACACATATTTTCCGCATTGTATCGATGCTCCGATGGCGGGTTGTCTTGCGCACACACACACACACACACACACACACATACACACACACACACACGCACGCACACGCGCGCACTTGCACATGCACACACGCGCACTTACAAACCATCCACACGCACATGCACACACTGCCACTCTTTGGTCCCGCCACTGATTCGTCTGCTTGGCTCGGATGTGGTCGACAACAGCAGCTCCAACCCGAAGAAGCGAGCCAAGTACGTGAATGATGGCACGCGTGCTGAACTTGCAGCTGGCTGGCCCATGGAATTGTTCCCCACACAACCATTCTTCCCCACACAACCATTCTTCCAACGTGATGTGGTGTGATGTCGTGGCATTGCAACACAATAATGCATGTTTGCATCCGCTCATGCATGTTTGTGTGCTCCAACGACTCGCCTTGCAGGAGGAAACCACGAGCCGCTGACGTTACCATCAGCGGCAGCAGCAGCAGCAGCAGCAGTAGCAACAGCGGCGCGAACAGCGGGAACAACAGCGGCAGCGAGAGCGTCAGCTCCAGGACCAGATCAAGGACCTCAACGCCCCTGCCGCCCTCGTACGTGGCGTCGTATGGTGCCTGTGGTCCTGTGGTGTAGTTCATCAGTGTCGCGTGCTGTCGTCTTGCTGCCTGCGCTGTGCATGAGCGTGTGCCAAGAGTACTCGCGCGCTCGTACACCTCATGCCCTTAACCATTTCCTTGTCTTGCTCATTGTTGTTTGTGCCTTCCTCATGTGTGCTTTGCTGAACTGTTTGCACGTGCGTGCCCCGTGGTGCAGGGGTGACGCCGCAAGCGACACCCTTCCTCCTCCTCCTCCTCGCCGCAGCTCGCGCCGGAAAGCAAAGAAGGCCACCCAACCCAGCGAGGCCGCCACTAGCGCCACAACCAGCAAGAAGAGCACAAGCAGCAAGGCCAGCAGCAGCAGCAGCCGCCGCAACAAGGGCCAGGCCAAGCGAAAGGCGGTTGCAACAAGCGAGTGGATCGAGGAAGACATCGACACTGCTGACACTGCTGACACCGGCACCACCACTGCCACCACCGCGGACACCGCTACCAGCAGCAGCAGCACCAGACGAAGCAGACAAAGCGGCGTCTCCCAGCGCAAGCGCGCCAAGACACGTCGCAGAAGCCACGCACCCTCACCACCGCGTACGCCAGCAGCGGCGCCAAGAATTTGCAGCAGCAGCAGCAGCAGCAGTAGTGGCAGCGGCACCACAGGACCCGCATCCTCATCTTCATCTCGACGGCGCGCAAGCAGGCCATCTCAGAGGCAGCGCCGACAGCAGTTACAGCAGCAGCAGTTACACCAGCAGCAACAACAAGCACGCCATCGTCCGCAGCCAGACATGTCCGACAGAGCTGGTGAGTGCGCAGTGGCACGCATGACGCTGGGTGTGTGAGTGTGAGTGTGAGTGTGAGTGTGAGTGTGAGTGTGAGTGTGAGTGTGTGAGTGTGAGTGTGTGAGTGTGAGTTTGAGTGTGTGTGTGTGTGTGTGTGTTGGCATGTTTTGCAGTGCCAGCGGTTTTCCTCAGCACGCCTTTTTTTTTTCTCACCTTCCGGCTGCCTCCCTGTGTGTGCGCGTGTTCAGAGTCGTTTATGGCGGGCCTGCCCTTCCACCAGATTTTCGGCGCGCCACTCATGCAGCAGCGCGGCGGCTCGTCAGGTACACGTGCTTGTTGGTTTGGTTATGTGCTGTTGTGTGTGCGTGCATGTGTGTATGCGGCACAAGGGTTGTGCCTGTGTTTGCTGTGTTACTTCTCCGCGCCCATAGAGCGTGTGCGTGCGTGCGTGCTTGAAACACGCAGCCCAACTCGCAGCTCAACTCAGCCCCGCGTGTATGCGTGGTGTGTACACAGGCATCGTTGCTGGGTTGAAATCGGGTGATTTCCTGCAAAAGGAGCATGCCCTCGACACCCTCAACACCGTACGTCGCAGCGTGCTTTTGCAGCGCTTGTTTGTGTCTCCGCGCACCGCGTGCATTTGTTCGTGTTTCCTTTCTCTTCGCCTTCTTTGGGTCTGCGATGCGCATACACACGAACGTGATGCCTGCCTCTGCTTAGCTACCTCCTGCTGACTCACTACATTTGCCCCTCCCCCGCTCCACGCACTGCAAACACACACGAATGCATGCGTGTGCATTTGGTTTGTTTGCGTAGAAATTTCTGATGGAGCCAGCGGAGCAGTGGCGATCGCTCCCCTTTGAGGAAATCATCGATGCTTTGGTGAGCCAGCCAGCCAGCCAGCCAGTTGTGTTGTGCCGTCTGCGCGCGCGCGTGTGTGTCTGTAAATTTGCGTGTGATCTTGTTTGTTGGTGTGTGTGCGCGCGCTTTGGGTTTGTTTGCGTGCTCGCGTCTGTGCCTGATTGTCTCGTTGACGTGCGTGTTATGCAGCTGCTTGCTACTCATCTCGCACATCGCGCAATACCACCGAATACCACGCAATACGACGCAATGTCACGCACTGCCCCTTGCAGGATGCCATCATCAAATCCATGAGCCCTGAGGACGCCCACCTTGTACGTCAACCCCATCCATAATCTATGTTCCCGGTTCTTCAACTCCATTGCACGCACTCTGCCTCGTTACTCTTTTTCTGTCTGTCTGCCTGTCTCTCTCTCTCAATATCTCTCTCTCTCAATATCTCTCTCTCTCTCTCTCTCTCTCTCTCTCTCTCTCTCTCTCTCTTTCTCCCCCCCCCCACATGCCTCTTTCATTTCCATCCTTTTCCCTCACTCCACCACGATCGCTTTTCTTGTTCCCCCTTCGCCTTCACCCCCAATCGCTTGATGTGCTGTGCTATTGTTTTTCTGCCATATTGGTGTGGTGTGCAGGCGTCGCGCGCTGCCCGCGCTGCGTCGAGTCTTCTCGAGGCGCGGCCGCAGACTGCAAGCATCGTTGCCAAGCTGGGCCCCGCCATCATGTTTAGGGTACGGTGGTTTACTGTGTGCGCACGCGTGAGCTCAATGTGTGTGCGCATGTTCGTACGTGCGTGAAGAAAGGCCCACGCTCCACAATGCGCGCGTGGGGTCAGGCTCACGTGCGCACCTTCCGTGTCGCATGCCCATGCTCATTGGTGCCATCTTATTCAAGCCCTCACGACACGTGCGACACGTGCACCGTTGCTGATGGTGGTGTTGTTTCAACGTTTAGTTCCAGCAAATGGACATGGACTTTACGGAGGCTGGCCTGGCGTGCCTGAAGCGGCTGGCGCGCGAAGCTCCAACAGAAGTCCTGCAGCTGGTGCGTGCACCCGTGTCGACATGCCTTTCCATTCTGGCTGTCTGTGTCTGAATGTGGATGTTTCGTGTGTGTCTCTTTCGTGTGTGTATCTTTTCTTGTGTGTGTGTGTGTGTATCTTTTCTTGTGTGTGTGCTCTTCTCTCACTTGCGCTTCTTGTATCCGCTCCTGCCTCACTTCTTTCTGCGTGTTGTTCCACCCTGCCCCCTCCCCTTTCCATTCCCGCCCCGCCAACAGAATGCCGTGCCAACGGTGACGATGATGATCGACTTCTTCATGGGCGCCTCCCAGAAGGACGCCATTGAGCTCATCTCCTCCGCCGCAGACGTGTGCGACGCGTCCACCTTCCCCCAGCACATGCGGGAGGCTGTGTCGGGCCTGACGCAATTTCTCCGCATGTTTGCCGTGCGCGACCCCGCAGTTGTGGAGGCAACGTGCGTGCTGTTCTTCAAGCTCACCCGCAACCTGGCTGCGTCGCCGGAGCACGTGGAGGCCCTGGCCAGCGACGGCCTCCCCGCCGTCTTTGTGCAGATTCTGCAGACCAAGCCGCTGCCCATTGCGCGGGAGGGGCTGACGGCCGTGCTGGCGTCGCTGGCCCTCATGGCGCGGTCGTCCACGGCAACGGCGGTGGCGCTGGTGCAAGACGACGCGCTGCTGCCCATGCTCAAGATGGCTCTCACCGACGCAAAGCACCGCAGCCGCCGCGCTGGCAGCACTCGTGGTGCTGATGGCACCGGCGCGGGGACAGCAGGTGCAGACGAGGACGTTGGTGTTGATGACGAGGGCGATGATGACGATGACGTTGCTGTTGTGGAGGGTGGTGCCGAAGACACGGCCACTGGCGCAAGCGCGCAACAGGGACAGGGACAGGAGGACGAGAAGCAGGAGAATCAGGGTGGTGCTGGCATTGGCATGCAGTTGCGCGCCAACCAGCTGCTGCATGTGGTGGCCCTGATCCGCCACCTGCTCCCGCCGCTGCCGACAACCCACCCATTCCACACGTTTACGCGCGACGTGCTGCCCACGGACGACGAGGCCGTGTGGGAGTGGCGCAGCGGGGCCAGCACGTGGCGGCCCTACACCACCGCCGCCACCGCCAGCATCGAGCGCGCATATGCCACGGGCGCGCCCTCTGTCACCATAACCGTCGGCTCGCAGACGTTTGTGGTGGACGTGCAGCGCATGCGGCAGATCAACCTGTCCTCGCACGGCGTGCGGGAGGTGCGGCGCACGGAGCGGCCAGCACCACCGCCCCCATCTGGTGACGCACTGCACAAGCACTACGCGCAGCACCCGGCCGCCTTGTCCAGCATGATTGTTGAGCTGATCCGCCCGCTGTTTGAGCTCTACCTTGCCAGCGCGCGCACGGACATCCACGCCGAATTTGCCCACACGCTCGTGCGCATGGTGCACGCTGCGACGCCGCCGACGCTGGTTGAGTCGCTGCGGTCCGTGTCCATGTCAAACTACCTGGCGCAGATGCTGCACTCGCGCGAGCCCGTGGTGGTGATGGGCGCGCTGGCCACGGCCTCGTGCCTGCTGCAGCGGCTACCGGACATTTTCGCCGTCCACTTCCGCCGCAAGGGCGTGCTGCATCGCGTGGAGCAGCTGTGCAAGATGCGCGTGGAAGTGGTGGCGCCCACGCCGGCGACGCCAGGCGCATCCACAGCAGCGGCGGAGGGAGGGTCAACGCCGTCCACGCCGGCAGCGGCAACAGCAGCGACACCCGCCACGCCCTCGGACGCGTTGTCTGCACCCTCCCCGCACGCAGCCATGCTGTCGCTGCAGCGCAGAAACACGGCGGCGGCGCGCGAGGAGAGCAGGAACATGCGCCGACGCGCCCGCAAGCAGCGCATGATGCAGGCGAAGAAGGTCGCGTACGACTTTGCTCGCGAGGCTTTTGGCGACGTGCTGGCCTCCACGGAGGCAGACGCCGACATCGACGCCATCATCTCGTCAGTACACTTTCATCTGTTGATGCGCAGTTCGTGGTTGTGCGTGTGCGTGTACTTGTGTGTGTGTGTGTGTACTTGTGTGTGTACTTGTGTGTGTACTTGTGTGTGGTTGTGTGTACCCTCGTGTGTGTACTCGTGTGTGTGTGTCTGCCTATGCGTGCGCGTGGGTTTGTATTTGTGTGTTCACGTGCGCCCATGCTTGTGTTCTTCATGTTGCGTTTGCGCGCACATTCACTTGCGCTGTTATGATGTTGCCACCTTGTGAATTCTTCGTCGTCTGCTTTCCTTGTGTTACCCCTCATCCCATCACGGTCACGTTCGCACAACACTCGGTGCTCAATGCTCAACGGGCAATCTCACCCCCCCCCCCTCTTATGCCCCCAACATTTGCCACCATTTGCCACCATTCGCTGCTTGCGCAGGGCGGTGAAAGCGGCGACGTCGGAGTTGCGTGCAGCCACGTCCCCGTTTGACCAGGACAAGGCCAGTGCCGCGCTGACGAAGCTGTCTGACCTGTGTTCAGGCAATGCAGACGGCATGACGGCCTTTGAGTTCACCCACTACGGTACGGCACACGCCCTCGCCACATTCCTGACGGTGGAGGATGACACGACCCCGCACAGGCTTGCGCTCTTTGCCCACCTGTTTCTCGTGCACGACGCGGCCAAGTTACATGCGCTGCAACGCCTGCTTGATCTGGTGCACGGCGCCCTCAACCTCAACGAGAACTTTGAGTCGTCGGGCCCGACCAAGCAGCAGTTTGAGCGGCGCAACTTCACCGTACGCGTCTCCCGCGCCGCTGATGAGAAGAACCTGGGCAGCGTCGACCTCAACCTCTCCGTGCCTTCCACAGTCACCGTCCAGGTGCGCTGTGTGTCATGCGTTTGTGTGGGGTGTCTGCGCGTGCTGTGTTTGTTTCATGTTCGTGCGCGCATTCGCTTTTTCCATTCACTCTTTCCATTCACTCTTTCCATTCACTCTTTCCATTTGCTCTTTCCATTCACTCTTTCCACTGCTCTTGAGCATGCACTCACGCTCCAACCCCACACACAACCTTGACCCCTCTCCCTCGTCACGCCCCACGTGTTTCAGGCGCTGTATGACTATGTGGACAAGCACCTGAAGCAGGCGCGGACGGGCCCCGACCGCCTGCGCGAGGCACACCGCCTCCTGCGCCGGCACACCGAGGCACAGCGGCGACGCAGGCAGCAGCAGCAGCAGCAAGAGGGCGGTGGTGGTGATGATGGTGGCGAGGGCACACGTCGACGGTCCTCCCGGCGGCGCGGGCAGCAGCAGCCGGCGCTTGGTGGTGCTGATGCTGATGCTGGTGGTGATGGCGACGAAGACACGACGGGCAGCGACACCACGCGTACGCACGCCCGTCGCTTGCGGCGGTCCGCCCGGCGGCACGGCGCTCGCAGAGGAGGCAGCAACGGCAACGATGGCGGTGACGAAGACGCTGGTCTTGGCAGCGGGGACGCGGCGTCGGACCTGCTGTCTGCGATTGCTGCCACGCTGCGGTCACGTGGGCGCGCTCCCGGCAATGACGAAGACAACGAGGACGAGGATGACGATGGTGACGGCGACGTGAATGAGGATGGGCTTGAGGCCGAAGAAGTGCTGCGCTACTTGCTGGGCGGAGGCGGTGAAGACGAGGAGGAGGAAGAAGCCGATCTCGAGGCGCAGGAGGAGGAGGGCGATGAGGAGACGCCGGCAGATGCACCCCAGAAGGTTGTGGTTGACGACGCTGGCGACGACGCTGAAGGTGGTGCTGATGCGGACGATGATGATGGGCATGGCAATGCGGGTGATGGCGGTGCTTCGACGGGCTCCAACGCGAGTACCCGTGCTCGCTTGTCGCGCACCTCTCGTTCACGCGCATCTCGACTCCGTCACCAACGCCTTGCACGCAGCGATTCAGGTGAGCGCGTGCGTGCAATATGTCGTGATGTTGTGATGTTGCAATGTTGGGCTGTGTGTTGTGCGCGCGCGCAAGGGAACAAGACGTGCTTGCGCCTGGAATGCGTGTTCGTGTAGTTAAATGGTCGCAGCTGTACATTTCTGTCTTGTCCCCCCCCCCACACACACACACTCACGCATCTCGTTGTGACATCATCTGCTTGCATTCGCAGGCCAATCTGTGCTGCGCATCTCCGCCGGGGATGACTGGTGGAAGGTGATTGCAAAGGGCTTCCGCAACAAGAACGCCCTCGACCTCACGCTCAACGGGCAGGTGCTGCCGTGGAACTACTCCATGATCCAGGCGGTGCGCGAGCTCACCTCCGCCTCCCGCCCAGCCAGCCGCAGCGGCAGCCGCACACCAGGAGTGGACGCATCTTCCACCGGCGGCAGTGACGACATGCCAACACGCGTTCACGTGAAGTACCGCAAGGCCAGCGCCCGCTCACGCCAGGTGTCGGTGCAGAGCCTGCGGCCAGACTCGCGCACGGGTGGCGCCGGCATTGGCGGTGTTGGTGGCGGGGACGCAGATGGCGCGGCGACCACGCTTGACCTGCCGGCAGCGGCCACGTCCATCACGCAAGCGGAGGAAGTGGCAGACCTGCTCCGCATCCTGCGCGTGCTGCACATCCTGGCCACGGACGGTGTGCGTTGGATTGGCGCCTATGCTGCAGCCGCCATCGCCATCTCGCCAGCCGCGTTTATCAACCGCCGCCTGGCCGCCAAGATCATGCGCGAGGTGGCCAACACGCAAGCGCTCACCAGCGGCACGTTTCCGGACTGGGTGACGGACGCCATGTCCTGCTGCCCGTTTGTGCTGTCGTACGACCAGCGCGTGCGCTTCTTCCGCTACACGGCGTTTGGCTGTGCGCTCGGCCTGCGCTACCTGACGGGCGACGCCGGCGAGGGCGACAACCAGCCGCTCGCGCAGAGCAAAGTGCAGGTCTCGCGCAAGCACCTGCTGGCAAGCACGGCGCACATCATGCACCTGTACGCCACGCACCCGACTGAGCTCTCCGTGAGCTTTGTCGGGGAGGTGGGCACCGGGATTGGGCCCACGCTCGAGTACTACGCCCGCACGTGCGAGCAGTTTCAGCGGCGCGACCTCAACCTCTGGCGTGACAGCAGCAGCAGCAGCAGCAGCAGCAGCAACAGCAGCAGCAGCACCACCACCACCACCACTGGCAGCAGTGGTGACGGTGGTGATGCAGTCGCCAAGGCAGAGGAGGCCGATGAGGAGAAGAAGGAGAAGACGAAGGAGGAGGAGAAGCAGACGAAGCAAGAGGAACAGCAGCAGGTGCGTGAGGGCGGCGATACCAGCGCAACAGCGGGTGATTCCAGCGAGCACGAGTTTGTGTTTTCGCCGCAGGGCCTGTACCCCAAGCCCGTGCACGCGCTGGGTGAGCGCGAGGGGTACATCTTTGAGCTGTTTGGCGCGTTTGTGGCCAAGGCCATGCAGGACAACCGCCCGCTTGACCTGAACCTGAGCCCGGCGTTTTACGGGTGGATGGTTGGCGCGCCGCCGTGCACGCTCGCAGACGTGCGGGATGTGGACGAGGGCCTGTACAAGTCGCTGGTGAAGCTGCAAGCAGCGGCTGATGCGAAGAAGGCCGTGGACAATGACACCTCCCTCGACGCAGCGGCGCGCGCAGAAAAGCTTGCCGCCATCACGGTGGACGGGTGCCCTGTTGAGGACCTGTGCTTGGACTTTACGCTGCCGGGCCACCCTGACGTGTCGCTTGGTCAGGCCGGTGCAGACACGCCTGTGACGCTGGAGAACCTCGGCGAGTATGTGGCCGCTGTTGTTGATTTTACGCTCCTGCGCGGCGTGCGGGATGCAATGACCAGCTTCACAGCCGGCTTTGCCGCCGTGTTTGACATGCGCACCCTCACCCTCTTCACCGTCGAGGAGGTGCGTCTTGTTTGTGGGGACGCGAGAAGGGGGGGGGGGAGTGACAGTGAGAGGGGAGGGCAGTGAGAGGGGAGGGCAGAGGTTTGCTGGTAATGTGTTTGGATGTATGTGTGTGTATGTGTGTGTGTCGATGCATGTTTGTGCATGGTTGTGACCGTGTGTAATTGTGTGTGCGTGTGTGTATATGTGCGAGTATGTGTGTGATTCAGTGTGCTTGTTTCTGGATGTGCGCTCTTTGAACCGGCTGCTCACGGTTTGGCTTGGTGCATGTGGTGGTGTTGGTTTGCGCGTGCACAGGTTCGCACCGTTGTGTGCGGTTCTCGCGTGGAATCGTGGGACTACGATGGTGAGCAGCCATGATCTCGTGGTCACCACCTGTGATGTGATGTGCATGCAGCGGTGTTGTTGCGGAGGGCTGTTCAGGCAGAGTTCATTGCCACGCTTTACATCTCATCACCCCCTCCCCTTTGCTCATCCCCACTTGTGTTTCGATTGCCTCCCTCTGCCCCCCCCCCCTCCCCAAACACGGCATGTTTTGTTGTCAGAGCTGCGCGCGTGCATCAAGGCCGAGCACGGGTACGATTCATCGTCGCCGCAGGTGCAGCAGCTGCTGGAGGTCCTGGTGGAGCTTGATGTCGACAACAAGCGGAAGTTTGTGCAGTTTCTCACGGGCTCGCCAAACCTTCCTGTCGGAGGTGCGGTTTGCGGTGTGGTGTGGTGTGTGTGTGGGGGGGGGGGTTGTGTTCGTGGTGTGATCATGGATTTGTGATGTGGCGTGCTTGTGGTGGGGTGTGCGTTTGGCTGTCTTGGCTGGTCTTTATGCTGTGGATTTTTCCTGCCTGCCATTCGTCTGCATGATGCGAGGTGATGTGACTTGTAATTTTGATCAGTGCACTGTGATTTCTGCCACAACGTTTCCCTCACCGCCCCCCCCCCTTCTTCTTCCTCCCCGCTTTTTCGGTGCATCAGGCTTCAAGGCGCTCAAGCCGCCGTTTACCGTTGTGATGAAGGACGCGCAGGGCCTGTCCCCAGACCAGGTGCTCCCCTCTGTCATGACGTGCCAAAACTACTTCAAGATGCCCACGTACAGCAGCAAGGACGTGTTGCGCGAGAAGCTCCTCATGGCCATCACCGAAGGACAGGGCAGCTTTGACCTCTCTTGAGTGGACGGCACGCGTGATCACCAGCAGCACACGGGGACGAATGTCAACAGACGTGTTGTGTGTGTGTGTGTGTGTGTGTGTGTGTGTGTGTGTGTGTGTGTGTGTGTGTGTGTGTGTGTGTGTGTGTGGCTATGATGGCAAGACCAAGCCGTTTCTTCCCAACACCAAGCGAGCCAGATCTTAGAGTGCCAGCCCAATAAACTACATGGGTCAACACAATCACATGGTTGCTTGTTTGGAGAACGTGTTTACTTGCAACCAGAAGCTCGGCGGCCGGCAACGTTTGCGGAACAAAAGCGCACGCACGCACACGCACGCACGCACACGCATGCACACACACACACACACGCACACACACACACACGCACACGCACACAGAGGGCCAATAAGTAGGCGAGTTGGAGTTCGGACGAGGGCATGAGGCATCCATCAGTCCGCGATGGCGAGAACGCCAAGCGTGATGTAGCGCTGTGCAGTGATGCGTGGGTTGGCGCCGGGCAGGTCAGCCACCTTCATCACCGTGTTGACGGGAATCTCTTGCATCTGCTTTGCCAGCGTCCAATCCTCGTCCGAAAACTGCATCACCCACCTGCGCGGGGTTGGGCGAAACAGGGCATGTGTATGTGTGTGTGTGTGTGTGTGTGTGTGTGTGTGTGTGTGTGTGTGTGTGTGTGTGTGTGTGTGTGTGTGTGTGTGTGTGT